TTAACGAAATTTTACTATTGCTTTTCGTTTAAAACTATATTGCAGAGCTAATGCCCATAAGATACTGTTTTAAATGTCCACCCCTCATTGATAAAAGTATAAAATCTACTGATAATAGAAATTTAAATCGTCCTATTGAGATAAGATCACAGAACTAGCTGAAATTTTTTACATAAATGTTTATGCAATGTAAATAGACACATATCTGTATAGTTTGATAATTTTTCTATTCAAATATTTAGTTAAGAATTTTCATAGATTTAACGATTGTGAGAAACGATCGTAATGAGATATAACGCTGAGGTTGGATAATTGATATTTATGTTGTTTACAAACTCGGCAAAGCAAGAAGAGTCAGCAATTATAACGTCAGGCACTAGAGTTCTCACAGGATGCAAAACTTTATCTTAATCTCTAGGTGGTATTACAGGGAGCACACCATAGAATAACTTTATATAGATTCTCTTCTCAGAGCCATAGAAGCCATAGACATATTTGTGAATGCTTCACTGCCGAAATCATTTTCTGTTGTCAAAAAATTTTTGAGGTATTGATTTTGCCTGTCAGACGTGTAAAGCCATATCTAGTGAGATAGAACGTAGCTGGAGAGCTTGGTGATAACTTAGACTAATGACTTTCCCCTGTGCATGTCTTGCATGCAATATTCTCAACAAAGAAAGCCATTGAAATTCATTTCAACTGTCATTTGTAAACTGAAGATTTGAAATTGGGAAACCAATGTTCATTTTGCCATAGAAAGATTATTAGTAAAGCCGATGTATTGTGTGTGGTATGCTGTTTTTAAATATATATGTATTTCCATATCAGTAATTTCCCTTCCGAACCATACTCCCCCCCTCCCCCACCCCATTTCCAAGCTCCAAGCCAAATATAATGTATACATTCCCGAACTACACAATCAATTAGATTGTATCATCAATTGCTTATCAGCTGCAGAACCTGTCTGTAAAGGATCAGATGTTTTCAACTTTCTAACACAGAACCTGTCTATAAGGGATAAGATGTTTTCAACTTTCTAACACAGAACCTGTCTATAAGGGATAAGATGTTTTCAACTTTCTAACACAGAACCTGTCTGTAAAGGATCAGATGTTTTCAACTTTCTAACACAGAACCTGTCTATAAAGGATCAGATGTTTTTCAACATTTCTAACACAGAACCTGTCTATCAGCTGCAACATTTCTAACACAGAACCTGTCTATAAGGGATAAGATGTTTTCAACTTTCTAACACAGAACCTAAAGGATCAGATTTTTTCAACTTTCTAACACAGAACCTGTCTATAAAGGATCAGATGTTTTTCAACATTTCTAACACAGAACCTGTCTATAAGGGATCATATGATTTCAAGTTTTCTTAAACCAGAACCTGTCTATAAATGACCAAGTGTTTTATGAGTTTAGCATTTGCCAATTTGATCAATTTTTATTAGATTTTACACAATGAACGTGCCTTGGATGAGTTCGTGTTTTGACTTCTTAATTCAAAGTCGGTATTATTATTTATAGAAAATCCTCAACCAGTTCAGTGATACAGCACTTCTGTGATTTCACATTCCAACAAGTTTTGATTAAAGATTATCGTGATCATTTGTAGAAATTTGTCAAACAATGATATTTAGATATTTACTATTTTGTGAATTATATACTGAAAAGCAGAACCTGTCTGCAAGGAAATCAACAGGTTGAAATAAAACATAAGAAAAAGAACTGGATGAATTATGAAAAAATTGCCTACAAGTATATATAAAAAGTTTAGTACAGCTCACACTTACAGTGCAGAAAATTAGATTGTTCTGACGCTGCTTCACATGTATAAAAGTTGTGAGAAACCATACAATCAGATGTACTTTGAATGAAAGAATCGTAAAGAATCACTAAGATTTAGACTAAATGGCAGTTTCTTTGCACAGTGTTTACATGGGGGCCACAACTTCTGCCAAACTCTTCCCGTGCCTGGATACCTGGAGAGATACGGAAAGTTTTTCATTACTTACAGTGAGCTAGGGTGCAGATGTTGTTTTATCGTTCTGGGTATTGTTACTTCACACTTCAGTGTGCCGTCTGCTCTGCAATGATACTGATTTACCGACACGTGTCATGGCCCCACAGTTTTTCTCTCCTCTTATTTATAGACATGTATATTTTTCCAACTTCTTTCAGAGATCTAAATTAGGTTTTCATGCACCAGTTTTGTCCATTCTCTTAAGAGAAATTTTTTTTTAAGAATTGAATTTTACCTCTGAGAATTGGTTGTCAAGCTCTGCGGGGCTCAAAAAAGGTGGGCTTATTAAAAAGTGATGATATGGCCTGTGTTGGGATTTCTACTCTACTGACAAATTACTAGATGCGGAGGGGCTTATTATCAGACATGGGCTTATTATTGGATAAGTATGGCATATTCCGAAGATCCTGTTACTTTAGAGAGGTATTTGATTTTTACATTGATTGAAATCCTGTTTTTTTTTCTAAATCATTTTTGTTTGCAATGTTTTGTTTATATTTAAATTATGTTGATTTAAGAAAACTAGTGCATAAATTAATAATGTTAGCTGTTTGTATATCTACCTTCACCTTATCAAAAACCTTTATCCTAAATGTTTATGATCATTCATATGCTGTATGTCTCGATTTAGTTAATAGTATAAAAAAAATCGGCGTTTATTGGCATTTTCAGTTGAAAATTTTGATTTTGATTATAAACAAAGTGGTCAAGCCAGTATTGATTTAATCAAAATTCTAAGCTGTTGTTTATATGAAAGAATTGTAATCAGGTGTTTTTATGTACTGAATTATAATGATACCAGAATATTTTGATTCAATTTAGATCGTACAGCACAAACATTACAGCTTTTTATTCTGGACAAAATATTGCAAGGTCCAAAATGACACATTTAACCTTACTGTTGCCCTAGAAGTGGGTTATAGTCCTTGATGATTCTCACAACCTTTGCTAAATGTTATTGTCTTTAGTGTCAAAATCTGACCATAATTGTGTCTAAGTGAAACGCACCAGGTGACATGTTGATAAATAATCACTTCCATCACATCACGTTATAAATGGTACATTGTGAAAACAAAATGTCTGGGGTCCTCAATTGTTGTGACTTTTTTTTTATTTGGATCTGTCTAAACAGAGGGATGTCATGGTCATTAGTTAAAGTTTTCTACTTCTGATCTGTTATGATATATGTAATGATTTATATCCAGAGTTAAGGGTATATGCTCCCTTAGCATTGCGCCTGTTAGATTGGTGTTAGAGTTAAGGGTGTATGATACCTTATACACTACTGTTTTTTGTGTAAAGAATTAAGGCTTTATGCTGCCTTTGACATTATATCTGTGATTTGCATTAGAATTAAAGATATATTACACCTCCTTCCACATTATAAATATTATACCTTACACATTACACCTGTGGTTTGTGTCAGAGTTAAGGCTATATGCTACCTTCCACATTTTATCTGTGATTTGTATTAAAATTAAGGTTATATGCTACATTAAACAATATAACTGTAATTTGTTTTAGAGTTGAGGCTACCCCTTATATGCTAGCTGATTCATCTTACCTGTAATCTGTGTTACAATTAAGACCATATGACACCTTATACATTGACCCTGGGGTTTTTTGTTAGAGTTAAGGCTGTATGCTGCCTGTGAGTCATTAGACCTATGACTTGTGTTAAGTTCACACAATTTATATCTTATACATCAAATACTTGAAGTTTTGATTACCTCAATAAATGTAGCCAGACTGAAGTCTGACATTCTAGATTAGTGTAAGATTTAATGAGAGATTAGATAAAATGAAGTATTTGTGTTCACCTACTTCCACCTAAGTACAGAAAATTTCCAAGTAATATAGATTTAAGGTGTGCCATTGTGTTATTGCATTATTTCACATTTGGTGAAATTTCTCACCTGTAACATATCAAACATGGATAATTAAGCCTGTAAATTGCCTATCCTTTCATTCACTCTCATTATAAATGTGCTTTACCACTCTTTGAGGAAGAGCTAGATTGATCAAAAACAAAAAAATAAGAACAGTGCACACCCTTCGTTACATTCTGATGTTGGTTATATTACAGATACAGAAATATTGTTCCTCTTTTCTTAATTCTGCCGTATTTTTGTTTTTATTTATGTTTTTTCCTTGTCATTTTTCTAAATGCCTAAAATGTATCTTTTCATCTTCTGATTTTTTTTTATTATTCATACGTTCATTTTAACCTTTGCATATAATTTTTATTGTCAAAATTACTTTGCACTGAGAGTCTTCTCTGTTGATAATAGGCAGTGATGTCATTACTGTGATTATATTCACGAGTTGACTAGGTATGAATTCGCTCAATTAAAATTTTTTCATTTTGAACAATAATACAAGTGTGCTAATACACGAATATTATTTTGTGATGTAATATTTAAAATTATTGTATTAAATTGGGATTTCTTTTATTCAATTTCTCAACAGGTTTCCTTAAATTTACCCCAAAGTATTTGTTTGTTTCCTGGGTTTATCATCCCATGAACCACAAGGGTTATTTAGAGGCAGGGTTTCCTTGTAGTAGCTGGTGGCTACCTCACTGAACAACATATGGGAGGTCTGTCACATATGGGAGACTTTTCTCCTGACATCTATAGCAATAGGGGTAAAGTGTCATGCCAGAGAATGCTAATTTCTGGTAGGAAACATCAGATTACACACCTCAAATCTTCACCAGATGTTGTGTATAGGCCTAGGCTGTACTAACAGAGCTATATTACCACCCAACACCCCCTGGTATGCTAACAAGTTCCACTCCTGATCATGTTAAGGTGGTCATAGGTCAAGGCTAACGTGTCAAAGGTCACATGTTACCTATATGTGAGAGTCCAGGTTTTCATGTTTTGAATTTTTATTTTTTAATCTTTTTTCAAATTTTATCATTTGATAATTAGCATGATTCCTTATTAATGAGGGTATTTTTTGCTTGCAGCGGTATGCATGGAAGCCGTGGGAGAGGCCAAGGTCGAATGGATGACCTCTAGTGACATTCAGGCGTCGGATGAAGAGGTGTTTAATTACACAACCATCCTCCCTATCAAAGGTTTGTATGAATGACACCTCAGGTCCTGTATAGAGAAAATTCAGATCTTGGACCGCTTGAAATGTCAACAAATCCTTCTCTCATTTTCCATCTACAAGACAGACTGATGCAGCCTTCTTAAAGAAAACTATCATTCTCCTGAAATTTTACTTTATTTTACTTAAGTATCTTACCTCACTCTCTTATCAACATATGAGACACCTGAGATCTCAAAGTTTATTGGTTTTTTTTTTTTTTTTAAATTTGCTCTGAATTTATGTAAACATTTCTATAACTTTCAAGTTACCAGGAATTTATAAGAATACAGACAGATTCAGTGGAATTAGACCGATAAACTTTTTTGTGTATGATATATATTTTTGTGAATTTCATGATTGAAACAAAATCCACCAAATTAAATTACAGGTAATTAATTCATAACACATGGATGTTGAACAGTGATAAGAGTGAAGTTTAGGTCTATTCCTGGAATTTTATCCCTGTGAACTTGTTTTGATGCAAAAGTGATGAAAGATCGTAATCACGGATGTTGAACAGTGATAAGAGTGAAGTTTAGGTCTATTCCTGGAATTTTATCCCTGTGAACTTGTTTTGATGCAAAAGTGATGAAAGATCGTAATCACAAATTAGTTGATTAACATTTATGATTGGTAATTAACTACTTTACTGAAAATTGGGTTCTGTCCTTAAAAACATTCTTTAATCAAATTCTACAAATTTTCTGATATTAATTACAGGGGAGAAGGATATGAAAGATGGCGCCTTTCTTCATCCAGGCTCACACTATTTCCCATTTGAGTTCACCTTACCGCAAAGACTCCCTTCATCTTTCAAGGGCAAACATGGGCGACTTCGTTACTTTGTCAAAATGACAATCTGCACTGCGGGAGGACCTCATCCAACTCGTACAAGTAAATTCGCTGTCCTGGGTGCCCTTGATCTTAACGCTGAACCAGATGCAGCAGTAAGTAATGTTAAAAACCTACATACCTTTGTACCTCATGATAACTATGTACATTGGTACCTCAATAAAATCTAGGTACATTGACCCTCATTAAACGCTCTACACATTTTTAACTTGTAGAAAAACTGTGTATATCAGTAACTTATTAAAATCTAGGTACATCAGTAACTCATTAAAATCTAGGTACATCAGTAACTCATTAAAATCTAGGTACATCATTATTCATTAAAATCTAGGTACATCAGTAACTCATTAAAATCTGGCTACATCAGTACTCATTCAAATCTGGCTACATCAGTACTCATTAAAATCTAGGTACATCAGTAACTCATTAAAATCTAGGTACTTCATTACTCATTAAAATCTAGGTACATCAGTAACTCATTAAAATCTGGCTACATCAGTACTCATTGAAATCTGGCTATATCAGTAACTCCTCAAAATCCTGGTACATCAGTTCTCATTAAAATCTAGGTACATCAGTACTCATAAAAATATAGGTACATCAGTAACTCATTAAAATCTAGATGCATCAGTACTCATTAAAATCTAGGTACATCAGTAACTAACTCATTAAAATCTAGGTACATCATCAACAAATTTTGCTTATCATGCAATTAGTCAGTCTTCATAACATTGTGACAGAGGCAATTTATTAGATTCAGGAAGAAGAGATTGTGAACTGTTCAGTTCAGTCATGGTTGTGTGTGTGGAAAATACACTTTGCCCTGATTGCTCCTTATTGCATGCAGTGGACCTCCAGCATAATGTTCAGTGTGGTAGTTATCGTCTACTACCAGTAGTCTCCTTGCTTTGAAATGGCTTTTGGCTGTCCACAGGGGGGAAAAAGGACAATGATGAAAAGATTATTACATAGAAATAATTGTTGGGCAGGAAAAATGAAAAATGATTGTTGTTCAATAGCCAATAGGGTATTTTATGTGACATTAAACTGAATTACTACAGTCCCATTTAAACGGGATGACGTCAATGAAAATGTCTCGATCAGATCCGGTGATCAAGCAGTGACGTTTCAAATCAGTACAAAGTCAGAAATGAATGGAAATGACTGTGTACAGGATACAGCCTTTAATCTGAAACAAAAATAAAACTGGATATCATAATTGTTAATGATTGATCTCTGACGATAAATACCTAAATATGGTGTATTTTTATATACGTGTGGTCGACAGACAAAACGATTGTGTTTCTGATCAATATTATCTGATCTGTGGTGTGGCAGACGATAAGTCCAAACAGCCAGGACATAAATTAACACAAAGGTTTAAAGATCCCTTAAATTGAACTCATATTTCACTGACTTATTTCAATCTAAAACTGTTCTTCTGTGTTTAAGCTGTTAATAAAGGCTGTAAGGATATTTTTGAAGATGAAAAATTCTTGACATTTTTCTTTATCGGAAAAGCAACTTGAAAAATTAGGACTCTTGGTAAAAGTAAAAAGGTCTATTAGAAAAGCTGGTCAAAGATCTCTTACCTAGTTATCTTTGTCAAGAACCAAAGTCAGTTGTAGTTAAACCTGTGTATAAAGGTCGCCCGAGCACACAGAAATTTGGTCATTAAAGGCAGGTGACCTTTATAAAGAGGTTTAATGACTATAATGGTATTACATTGGGACCCAATGACAGTGGTCCTTATAGACAGGTTATTAAGTCAGGTTTGTTGGTATATCTTAGGTAGTATTAGCTTATGATATTTGGATTTAACTACTTTGAGACAGTCTCTGGGTCCTGGACCACATTGTTTTGTAAAACATGACTAGCTTTGATGTTCATGCAAATTTCTAAAAGTCTGTATTTATCATATTTTTTCGAAGATTTTTAAAGTTCCTTTTATTGTTAAATCCTTTCAGACCATTATTTCAATCATGGTGTATAAAAGGTTAGTTTCCACTTTCAATATTTTCAGAAATTTACTCGATTCATCTTTCATCATTTATTTCTGGTTAAGCTGATAATGCTTTGAATAATTTGACTTTGTTTACCGCTTCAGCAACTTAACACCACTGAGCAAAAAAATTGTGTACTCTAAATAATAGGAAAAAAGTGGGGAAAATAAATAAATAAAAGAGAACCAAAAATAAACAGTGGTTTTGGTTATTTTCAATCCTTAACAACCAGTTTTAAAAAAATGTTAATAATGTTTGACACTAGTCTGCATAATATCAGCAAAGACATCTGTGCTATAAAGTTGACCATGCTAGGTAAGGACATGTATACACAGACATGATAGGGAATGGTGGTTGTCAGGTGCCCAGATCAGTCCTGCCTCATTAGTGGTTCACAGAAGTCGACTTCCGATTCTAACTTTGAAATAGAAGAAAACTCTGCTGTAGACAGTCAAAACAGTGTGATTATTTTATAAACATAGGAATATCTATATTTAGAAACATTTCTCCTGTTCACTGTAACTTGAAAAAAAAAAGAAATAAGAAATTCAACTGCAAATTTTTAAAACTTATTTTTAGTGTTGACATTCAATAATTCAAGTTCAGTGAGTTTGTAAACCTGAAATACATTGATTTTATTGGTTAAATGGGATTTTCTTTGTTTTTGATCTGCAGGATTATTTTCAATGGGATTTCCCTTTTTTATTGTTGAACATTTTAAATGTTTCCTTTCACTTTGTGTGCTGCAATCTTATGGCATCCATGTACACAAAAGGATGCATTGATAGATTACTCTAAAACCAAATAAGTCAAAAGTCAAGGCTACAGACAAATTCTGAGTTCACCTTTTGCTTTGTGTAATACACTACACTTCTCTCATCTGTTGCAGGTTAGAGCTACATTAACAGATTATCGTTTCATTAATGTAGAGTTACATTATCAAGTTAGATTTACATAACCGTGTAAGTGTTACATTGCCAGGTTAGAGATACATTGGCAGGTTGTACTTACATTACCTGGTTAGAGATACATTGGCAGGTTGTACTTACATTACCAGGTTAGAGATACATTACCAGTTTATAGATACATTACAGTTAGAGACACATTACCAGGTTAGAGACACATTACCAGGTTAGAGACACATTACCAGGTTAGAGATACATTACCAGGTTAGAGATACATTACCAGGTTAGAGACACATTACCAGGTTAGAGATACATTACCATATTATAGTTATATTGATAAAGATTTACATCACCAAATGAGAGTTAAATTACCATATGAATTCTTTATAAACCCCTGGGATCGCTACTGGGTATGTATATGATAAAGGTTTTGTCTCTGTCCTTCCAGCTCCCAGTAGAAAATGACACATTTGAAGCAGTGGGATCCTGGTGTTGTATAGCTGGAACTGTTACTGCAGCCATCAAGCTCGAGCGCAAAGGATTTGTCATGAAGGAAGCGATTCCTGTCTGGGCCGAGATCAAGAACCTTAGTACTCGCAGGATCAAATCTACACAGGTGTCTCTGATACAGGTAGGTCTGTTTTACACAGGTGTCTGATACAGGTAGGTCTGTTTTACACAGGTGTCTCTGATACAGGTAGGTCTGTTTTTACACAGGTTTCTCTGATACAGGTAGGTGTGTTTTACACAGGTGTCTCTGATACATGTAAGTCTGTTTTACACAGGTGTCTGATACAGGTAGGTCTGTTTTACACAGGTGTCTCTGATACAGGTAAGTCTGTTTTACACAGGTTTCTCTGATACAGGTAGGTGTGTTTTACACAGGTTTCTCTGATACAGGTAGGTCTGTTTTTACATAGGTTTCTCTGATACAGGTAGGTGTGTTTTACACAGGTTTCTCTGATACAGGTAAGTCTGTTTTACACAGGTGTCTGATACAGGTAGGTCTGTTTTACACAGGTGTCTCTGATACAGGTAGGTCTGTTTTTACACAGGTTTCTCTGATACAGGTAGGTGTGTTTTACACAGGTTTCTCTGATACAGGTAAGTCTGTTTTACATAGGTTTCTCTGATACAGGTAGGTGTGTTTTACACAGGTTTCTCTGATACAGGTAGATCTGTTTTTACACAGGTTTCTCTGATACAGGTAGGTGTGTTTCACACAGGTTTCTCTGATTCAGGTAGGTCTGTTTTACACAGGTGTCTGATACAGGTAGGTCTGTTTTACACAGGTGTCTGATACAGGTAAGTCTGTTTTTACACAGGTGTCTCTGATACAGGTAAGTCTGTTTTTACACAGGTGTCTCTGATACAGGTAGGTCTGTTTTACACAGGTGTCTCTGATACAGGTAGGTCTGTTTTTACACAGGTGTCTCTGATACAGGTAGGTCTGTTTTACACAGGTGTCTGATACAGGAAGGTCACATCTACACAGGTGTCTGATACAGGTAGATCAGTCTATACAGGTGTGTCTGATTCATGTTGGTCTTGTATACACAGGTGTCTGATACAGGTAGGTCACATCTATACATGTGTCTCTTACACAAGTAAGGCACTGACATGCTGGATCATGATCTCACCTACAAGGAATACAGCACACATTACATATAGTGGTATTAACAAACAGACATAGAGAGAGATGTTCCTGATATATGTAGCTAGTTCACATATAGGAATATGTTCATAGATAATGTAAATTATATATCTTAGTCAACTTTGAGAGATTAAATATTTCAGAAATAAACAAAAAGTGAAATCCTGTTGCCAAAGTGCCCAGACTCAATGTTAACAAACCCTGAAGTATAATGTGTCTATCATGGTGATTTGTATCTTTCTCCATCACATCAACGCTCAAAAACAGTGGTAAGGATACATGGACAGGCACATCAACAGTTGTAAGAATTTGACATTATACATGGAGAGTGTGAAGAATACCAATTTATGATTGTTAGATCTCTGGAGGGTTACAAACAGCATGGAAATTCTATAATATTTCTGTCTGAATGAAAGTATTGGATGATAGCTTTAAGTCTGCAAATTGATATGATATTGGCAATAACTCTGTGAATATCTTAAGAATGTGATGAAAATTCATGATCCATTTATTGGAGGTGCAGGAATAGACATGAATAAAAGATGTTTTTTTGAAATTCCGTCTATCGACAGCCTGGTACTGAAGGATGTTGATAAAACACAATATTTGGCTACTTCATCAGATGATAAGTACTGAATCATTATAATATCAACAGTGTCACTTAAATCTTGTTACAATGCCACAGTTCTTTAAAATACCATTATTTTGTCTACTTTTATGGTTTTACTACTACCATGTGGCCTTACCGTCTCTCTGTTAGAAACTTGTAATACTGGCACTTTTTGTAGTAAAAAACAATACAACATTTCTATTAAGTACAATCTTTTTATAGTCATTATGTTTTTCACAAAATGGTGTCAATATAAAGGTGACTGATATATTGAAGGAGTTAAATAGATTAATGAAACAAGCAAGTATGTGTCCTTGAAAGCAGTAAGTGAAATGTCTGGAGAGATATATGCATCAGGCAATAAGTGAAATGACAGTGTATGGAGGGGTATTATATATATAAGGCAGTAAGTGAAATGACAGTATATGAAGGGGAATTATATATATAAGGCAGTAAGTGAAATGACAGTGTATGGAGGGGTATTATATATATAAGGCAGTGAGTGAAATGACAGTGTATGGAGGGGTATTATATATATAAGGCAGTAAGTGAAATGACAGTGTATGGAGGGGTATTATATATATAAGGCAGTAAACAAAATGACAGTGTATGGAGGGGTATTATATATATATATATATATATATATATATAAGGCAGTAAGTGAAATGACAGTGTATGGAAGGGTATTATATATATAAGGCAGTAAGTGAAATGACAGTGTATGGAGGAATTATATACATAAGGTAGTAAGTGAAATGACAGTGTATGGAGGGGTATTATATATATAAGGCAGTAAGTGAAATGACAGTGTATGGAGGGGTATTATATATATAAGGCAGTAAACAAAATGATATATATATATATATATATATATATATATATAAGGCAGTAAGTGAAATGACAGTGTATGGAAGGGTATTATATATATAAGGCAGTAAGTGAAATGACAGTGTATGGAGGAATTATATACATAAGGTAGTAAGTGAAATGACAGTGTATGGAGGGGTATTATATATATAAGGCAGTAAGTGAAATGACAGTGCATGGAGAAATTATATATATAAGGCAGTAAGTGAAATGACAGTGCATGGAGAAATTATATATATAAGGCAGTAAGTGAAATGACAGTGTATGGAGGGGTATTATATATAGAAGGCAGTAAGTGAAATGACAGTGTATGGAGGGGGTATTATATATATATAAGGCAGTAAGTGAAATGACAGTGTATGGAAGGGTATTATATATATAAGGCAGTAAGTGAAATGACAGTGCATGGAGAAATTATATATATAAGGCAGTAAGTGAAATGACAGTGTATGGAGGGGTATTATGTATATATAAAGAAGGAAGAAAATGACAGATTTATCTAGAATGTACTGTATTTAGGTCTGTGTAATAACAAATGGTTTTGGTATATTCATAGATCTGAGCACAGAATAGAACAGAAGTCAGTCATGGAGATTTTTACTCTCTCTCAGAATCCGAACATCCATCATCATGAGTAGAGAGTTCCTGTCAGACCTTTCATTGTTTAGGTAGTGTTTATTCTGTTCCTGCTAATTGTTTGGTGATGAGTTATTGACCTTTGATGAGAACAAGGAAGTGTAACTGGGATTTGATGAACCTGTAAACTATGATATTGACATATACTCTACAGCTGATAGTAAAATAATGACTTGTGAAACATGAGTGTTCCTAAATTTTTTTATGAGCTTTGAAATCTATTTGTTGTCCTCATCTTGGCAGTGATCAACACCTCATCTAGGATCATAAAATTATTTATCAACCTCATCAACACAAAATAAAAACTTGTAGCAACATATAACTTTTGTGTTTGCAAAATTTATCTATCAATGTCATATTTGTCTTTAAAGACTATACAATAGATCAGTTAAGGTACAGTAATACAAACCTGTCTATAAAGGCCACATAGAAAAGCTGTTGATACAGAGTAAACATACAAACCTGTCTGTAAAGGCCACTCAAGGGAATAAACATACAAACCTGTCTGTAAAGGCCACTCAAGGGAGTAAACATACAAACCTGTCTGTAAAAGTTACTCAAGGGGATAAACATACAAACCTGTTTGTAAAGGCCACTCGAGGAAGTTAACATATAAACCTGTCTGTAAATGTCGCTCAAGGAAATAAAAATACAAACATGTCTGTAATGGCCACTCAAGGGAATAAACATACAAACCTGTCTGTAAAGGCCACTAAGGAAGTAAACATACAAACCTGTCTGTAAAGGCCACTCAAGACTGAAGTTGAGATACGATGTTCATGCAAACCTGTCTATAAAACACCTCTCAAAATGAGCAGTTGAGATAGGTATCATACAATCCTGACTACAAGGGCCATTCAAAGGAGCAGTCAAGATACAATAATCATTCAGTCAAACTACATGTAATGACCACTCAAGTGAGTTACATTGAATAGTGATTATGGGAACCAATATACCATTGGCCTTTATAGACAGATATTGAAGTTATACACAAGTGACCTTTGTAGGCAGGTTTGACCCAGTACATGTTCCATCTAATTGTGCTTCCCAAGCAGGACTTCTACCTGAATCATTAAATAAAAGGTACTTTTAATGTCAACATTTTTTTAACCTATTGAAATTTCACTTCAATAGAGTTGTTTGATTAAACATTTACAAATGTCTTGTAAAAAAAAGTGAAATCATGAAAAATTATGCTGTCGCCATTTTTTTTCAATAACATTAAAATTATTCAGTATTAGTTATAAAGAGAAAATATCACATTAAAGTAACAAGGAATGGGCAAAAGTGATAACAAAATTATGTATGTATTTTTGTTGAGATGAAAGTAAACAGGGTAACATGCTGTTGATTCTGAACTCAGTGGCAATTGGTACTCCAGTACAAGAGACCTTTAGTAGGAAGTGGGGTGTAGGGTGCTTGTTTATGGTGTAAAGATAAACGTGTAGTACATGTTACAGACTCAGAAATATGAAAGTTCATTTTTACATCTGATGTTCAGGTAACTGGTACAGTAATGTATAGGGTTGCAATTTTTTCTTTACAGTTTGATAAATGTACCGATCAGGTTTCACTCAAGGGAGAAATACTTCATACTCTGTTGTCAGGAAGCAAATCATCTGCTTTCAACATTGCTGTGTTGAGGATGAAAGGGTGCATAGAATACATTGAGTTCCTGCCATACCTGGCAGCTACCGATAATTAACTGTTACTTACAATTCTTACAGCTATTCTAGTAACTGTAATTTAACCATTGTTACGACTGTCGTAGTTGCTCTGATTCACAATTCCTTACAACGACCATAGTTATTTGAATTTACCAATTACTGAAAATTTTTAAATGTACTATATATATAAAATACTTGTGGTGAGGATAGTTTGTGATTGGTCAGTTCTAAGAATCATTCACTCCTGTTTTTTGTCTGTTGTTAATATAGCATCAGTTACTGTGTTATCCAGTCTAAACCAAGTAATGTTGGGCACTTCATGGAAATGGTATATACCCATAGTTATCCACTAATAAGCCCATGTCTGGTAATAAGCCCAGACATACACAAACATCTGGTCACTGATGTGATGAAACAATGCTATATTTTATTGCACTGTGATAAGCCTCCTCAGACTTAAGTAATAAATAATGTGTTGATCCCCTTGGCTTATTGAAGGAGAGACATGGTATAACAACCTTATGATGTATCTAACTCGCTTTAATCTTTTGTTTGGCCACAGTTTAGGTGTTAATGGATGTGGAAGTGATTCACCGATTAAAGTTTATCCAGGTGTGTTATATCACCTTGTTTATCTGGAGACGTTTATATTCTACCTGTGAACTACATCGTGCCCTTCCTGGCTCGTCACCTTAAATACTTACTTTGATCGAAAAATTGGCAATGGAACAATGTGTTGATATTCATGTTATTATTAAAGTGCAGATTTTTGAAGAAAACGTGCATTAGATTCAAATTATGGTGAGAAACCGGTCAAACATGTTTACTAAATGACAGTTAATTTCATAAGTAAAAGGAATGTCTTGCTTTAATGTATATTATCACTGTACATGTGTACATAAATAGATTTCATCTTTCATAAATAAACAGATTTATATAGTTACTCGAATATTCTTGCAAAGTTATGTTTTGGACCACAATCAGAAAAAATCTCCTGAAAAATCATCAATTTTTGTGGAGGATTTATTTTCATTGATTCTGTTGCTACTAGAAACCACAGATTTATAAATACATCAAGTGTTAAATCAGTACAAGCGAGCTATATTTATCCATGATATCAAGTTTCAGTGAAATAGTGATTTTTGAAAAAGAAACCAAAAAAAACCCAGTAAAATTGAGCACCACAAAAATGTGTGATTTCACAGTAATTTCATATGATAAAACACATAATGTAAATAACATGTAGACAGAAGTCAATTTCAGGCTTAGTTAAGCTCATTTGATATACATAATACACCAGATTCCTCTGGGACCAGATCTTGATGAGGAAATTATTGAGTTGGCACAAACTCTAGCCAATAAAGAGGTGACAGTTATGGGACTTGAGGCCTCTGTTTTCTGGTTTGTCCACCAGGGGGCAGCAGTATAGAGTCTCTGCCTCAGTTTCCTATCAGCTTTGCATCTAAAGTAATATTGAGTTTGGGAGGGATTGGGTAGGGGGAGGGGATGACGGAACTTATGGAAACATTGTGGACAGTTGTGGGGCTGTGTGCTGGCTATAGCAGATATCAGTACCATATAGTTAGAGTGGCAGATATGTCTTTCTGTGGTCTGGTATAGTGGACAGTTGATGGACTAGTGGCTAGCTGTTCTGACAGCATCATTGCATGCCTCATGCACTTTAAGTCATTCAGTTATTGCAGGAATGGCTATCTCCAAAATGATTTGTCTGGCTTGGACAGAAATTTACAAAATATTCCTCCCATAATTGAACGTCAATTTTGCAGTGTCTGTGTTTCTATTCTCCCAGTCACAGTGCTTAGAGTAAAAGGAAATTTTTTATTTTTTGATAAAGTGATGGCCATGATAGGCCTTTAGTGTGATTTATTATGGCAGTTGTATTTATCTAACATTGTCTGGGTATTATAAGCAATTTTCTACCTATATCAAAGTAAACACTTTACATACAGCTCACAGATGAAAACATTCAGATAAAATTTACACTGTATTTCTCAAATATATTATCTAAACTACCAAACTGTAACCAGCATATACTGGTATATAACCACGGTTTAAAATAGGGAGATGGACTTTTTTGGTGATGGGTTGGTGTACATGTTTCCTGACACTGAAATAGGTGGGCTTATCACCAGGCACAGACTAATTGCTCAATAAATATGGTAGATATTTAAATTGAAGACAATCAATCATAGTTCCATTGATAAGACTAATTAAGGGAATGGAGATAAAATCTTACTTTATATCAACAGAGTTATTTCTATATCAAAACATGTCTGCATCAGGGGAGATAACTTTGTCTTAATATTTTGTAATTTATAATTATTTCACATTCAGATTTATATTTAAAAAAAAAACCAAAAAAATCAGGATCATAAATATTGAAATAAAAGCTTTGCACTATAAGTCCCTATATTCAAACATATCATTATCCTAGAATTAGTAACTTGAGATTTGTTTTGAACATACACAAATCTTGACAGTAGTTATCTCCCCTTGTATTACTGATCATGATTGATACCTTACAGCTGAAACATCTTGGTATATCTCACTCAAGATAATTCTAATTCCTACTACTAATGATGTACTAGACAGAGATAGAGCTATAGGGAAATGACCAACAGCTGACCAGAGTAGGGGTCAATGAATAGTTTCATCATTAAATGGGAGGATGGGGTTGGGGGTGGGGTAGGCTGGGGTTACAAAGACGGCAAATATCAGAAAGCACATGTGGTATTTGTTGAATCCAGTTCCATGTTGTTTCATCACAGCGTTCTATCAGCAGTTTCCGATACATGACATGGAGCATGTTTTTTGACTGCCAGATCCATGTAGCATGCAGGGAGTAGTTAAATCTCATCAGACTTAATCTGACAGTACCTGGCTGGAGTTCTCTAGATATAAGATACTGAAGTAAACCCAAGGTGTGTAGTTCACATTTCATGTAGGAGTTTGTCTGCAGTCAGACCTAGTCAGAGGACAATTCTGTGTTTGTGTATAAATATCAGTATAGTGTATCAATACCCTCTGAGCTAGCAGTTTATCCTCTAAATCTTTATGACAGCATTATGGGATTGTTATCATCTTCTATATATATTTTCTACTTTCTATCAGCATAAATGTTGAACATTTTTACATTTAGGTATGAAAAAAGGTTATTCAATCAAGGAAAAAAAATTGAATTAATATTCAAGTATTTAACAAGACGTGTTGCTTACATTTGATTCTAAGACGTCAAAACCCAGCAGGTGTTCATCTTTAAAGTTCATCAATATCTGTTTCCTACTTGTCAAGTCTTCTGATGTTTTAAGTACAGGTAAGGAGAAAAGATGATATGGCTGCCCTCTTACAATCTGCAGATGTAATTTTGACAGAGAAAAAAATCTTTGCAGATCTTCTTCAAGTCATGAAACGTGCGAAATCACGTCCATATTTTCTTTCTCAATGATGTAGTTAACACCAAAAAGCCATTTAAGAAGGTTTTCAAGATTTTAAATATTGAGGCTGCGAAGTTTAATGTGTTTTGAAGATTGATAGCACTGGCAGGTTGAGATGTTGCGCTTAGACTGAGAGTGTGAGGGAGAGTCGATCACGTTCGCTAGAGGCTAGGAACACACTAGTTTTACTGTCCGATACAAATCAATAGAACATGATTCAAGAGAAAAGGAAATTTGCTGCAGTTGTAGCATTTTTGATACAAATATAGGTTTTTAACTGTTGTCAGTTGTCCCGGGAAACTATCAGAAAAGATGTTTCTGGAATATATAGAAATTGACTTTTCATGTTGTTCTTGTAGTCGGGATGAGCATGTTTGAAAATTCCTACTTTTTTTAGGACTTGCGACCCAGACAGTGCACTTTAACTTAATTTGTCTGTCCATTAACTACAACACACTATCTTGCAGATAAAATGTTTGACAGCTTTCATGGAAACTAAAAGCTTCACTTGCCCCTTGTTTTTTTTGACAATGTATCTAAAAATATTTTTCCAAAAACATTTAATAATGATGGAGCATAGATGCAACAAAACAAAAATAGGATAATTAGATAATTAGGAAATTGGTGTCTCTCATTAACATATATACATCTGCTTATATACTGTTTCAGTCTTTATAGACAGTTATTTCTAGACACAAAAACTGCGTGTAGTTTTGCCACAGGATGAATCTGAAGAAATTATTCAATGATTTGTTTTTGTTGTTGTTTTTTTCTCTCTTTCTTTCTTTTTTTCATTTTTGTTTGTTTGTTGTTAATGATAATGTTTTTTTTTTCTGAATAAAGCTTAATTATCTCTTGATCATTGAATACCAGTTTTAGTTCATTTGTTGTCAATTAATCATTTAGTGCATAACTGGTTCCTTCACCATGCATAACTTTCACTGTTTGGTGTCAAAATGGAATATCAGGTGTTTACCATGCAGGTCATTATTTCACATTTACAGACTCATCAATCATGTACCAGGTGTTTTTTAGGAAATGTAAACTGAGCTGGATTCAAAGAAAAAGAATATTGGTTATAATTTCCATTTTGTCATTTGGAAAAACCAAGACACTTTCGGTAATATCTATCATAAAGTCCTCAACAAGAGAAGCATGCAATGAAAGTTTCCCAGCTTATAACAATGATGTGTTATATTTTTCAGAATGTCACCTACTATTCATATAGAGGACGCTTCTCTGAGTCAACAACCATGGTTACTGTACACAAAGGAGGCATCGCACCCCGTGGTAAACAGACGTGGCAGAAAGAGTTACTTAGCATTCCAACAGTACCAGCTTCGCACCTACGAGGCTGTAAAATCATCGATGTACAATACAGTATAGAGGTAGGAGATATATGACCTTGAGGTCAAAGGTCATTTTATATTTGCCTTGAGTTATAAGTTCTATGAATGTTTGATTTTTGAGTAGAAAAGGACTCTGAATATTGTTCTGGTTAAATTAGTGATGGTTTAAGATGACCTTGAGTGTCAAGGTCACTCAGTGTGCGAACTTGAACAGATAAAACCTCATCATCTTGAGAAATAATGTCCATGACCTTTGATATATTGGTTTCCATGATGACTGAAACCAGAAACATTTTACAAAAATACTTGGCCTTAACCCGAATGTACAGTATCTTATTTGTTGGATTGTTACACTAATAAATTTGGGGTCTTGGGTTCAAAAATTGAAAAAGAATTGCTTCGTTTGACCAAAAATCTGTCCTTTTGTTAGATTGAAGGTCAGCCGCATGACCTTAAGTGTATAGGTCAGCTAATGTAAATGAAGGCGCTTGACCAAAGGTCAGTTTGAAAGATCAAATGTAGGACTATGTCTCTATCAACAGATATCATAGACAGTAGTGAAGTAAGCTGTAATATATTTCTTTGAGTGTAAATTACAAATTCCGTGTTTTCTATGTGAAGGATGTTCTTGATACATTACATGAAGATTGCTGATATCAAAAGGGATTGAGTACAAGTAGGTTTCTCTAGTGCCAACTTGGTCTTGATTTTCTACTGATCCCCAGCAATTCTTGCATTTTTGACTCTGATAGTCATGACAAGGAGAAAGTTAATTAATGTGTAGTGAGTAATCATTATTTATTTCTTAGACAAACCTTGAAACCTTGGCAATACAAGATTGTTTTCTGATCAGCAGACATGTGGTTTGACTAGGCCAGGTGTCTATATGAGGTGCTCCCCAACCCTCCCCACCTTCCCCACCTTCCCCCACACCCAAACAAAACAAAAATAAAATAACTGCACATTTACTGCAATAGAAAAGGATTTTCATTGTAGGTCAGTGTTTTCAGCAGTAGGTACAGTATAAGTATGACCTTTGAGGGTCATGACCTTGAGTTTGGAGGTCAATCAGTTTTTGACTGACTTTTAAGTGTATCAATAGATGGTGGTTATTTATATGACCTTTGATGGTTGTTTTTCAGCTGTGTATAAAACCCTCAGGATTTGCCAAGAAAGTTCGTCTGCCGGTGGATATTGTGATAGGTACGGTCTCCATTGAAGACACACAGTGCCAAAAGGCATCCTATCACCCACTTCCTTCCATCGTCAGCGACAACAGTTTCCCGTACCCATTTTTTGAGACGCCGTCAGATCAGGTTTACCTGACGGACATTTCATATCACCAACATATGCTACCGACAGCGCCACCTTGGGAAAGTGACGATGATATTCCCTGATAGACTCAGCAACTATCATCTACAGGTACTAAACGTTTTAAGTGTAGGTGTAAAATTACATTTAAAGATTTTACTAATAAAACATATAGGTGTTGCATAAACACGTGATATGTATGTGCCAGAGTTATCTCCCTTTAATATATTTTAAAAAATTGGATGTCATTTATCCATCCAAAAATAGTTTCCAGGTTTTTTTTCAGATTAATTCATGATGACATGAGTTAAACATTTTACAATTTATTTACGGTTTGATATAAAATGTATAAGAATGAAATGAAATCTATTTAAAAAAAAAAAAAACACAACTTATTTGACTTTATTTAATCAATTTATTTTATAGAGATTTTGTCATGTTTGTTTAGTCGTAACTTTAAATAGGGGAGAACAATTTACTAACATTGGTTTAAGAGTTACTATGAATTGTTAATTGGACTGTATTAATTAGATGTACATAAACATGGAAGAAGTAATCGCGACACAATATGGGTCGTATGTTTAAGAAATAACAGGAAGAGTGGATTACATTGCTACTGTACCCATATTGTGTTGTAATTGATTCATCAATGTTTATTTATTAATCCATTTCAATCGCCCTGCATACCTAAGGTATCCACAACAGGGTCAGACTGACCAAAAAAGCGCAACTTCTAGCACTTAGAGGCGTTGGTTCTAGCAGCATATACTATAATTAGATGTACAGATGATTTTATATGCTTCAATAAAATATGTTGTGATCTAGTTCTACTCCTAGATTCTTATAGAAAGGTAAACAGGTTGAAATTACTGAGTAAATGTTTACTTACTTGTACCGATTGTTTCACCGTCTCCTTCCAGGGATTTTAATAACGCAACCTGTCGTCCATGGAAGCAAATCTCATTTCGTTGTCTTGACGACAGATCTGGTGTACCATTGTCAAACAACATTGTTCATTGGACAAAAGATATCTGCATTTGACTAATCAGCGTTCCTGTTGCATTAGGATTATTAAACCAGTGCTCGTGTGAAGTGTGAGGACGAAATATTTGTGTTGTTGGTGATGCTAGTCGACTAGATGAAAACAGGTCAGTTGACCTGACCTATGACCAGGGGTCATGGACAATGAAGGTCATGACCTCCAGAATAAAACTGAATGATGTGTGTCCAACGTTTTCTGATTGGACAAAATATGCAGTAAATACGATAAGATTTAGACTGCAATTGGTTTCTGACTTTTGCAGTCATAGTGATGACCTTTCTGCGGCTGACCTTGGAAGAAACCCTAGAACTGGTGATTTCATGAGGATTCAATGTCAATCGCAGATTTATCATTGATCCAACGAACATGTTTCTTACTGATGATCATGGAGAAAACAAAAATCTCATTATGACCTTGGAATAAACGCAACCTTGTAATGACCTTTGGAAAAAGATATTTTTAGCTGTGCTGACATAAGATCAAACTTTCTATAGGAAGACAACTTTGCAAAAGTTTGCCATTTCAAGAGAAAAGTTGTAACCTCACAAAGATATTGTACTACGAGGTGTTGACAACGTACAGATGTTAAGTGGTGTATATATATAGATATGTTTTTGTTTCCATGGTAACATTCTTACATAATCATTTCAATCATTTGTCAACTATCGCAAAATCATGGGAATAATCATTGATCCTATATATAGCAAATGTAGATATATGAATATACTTTTAGTTTAAGTTCCACACTTGTAGCTCTAGATGTTTGATGAAGAAGATTAGAAATGTTTCTGATGTCTGAGGTAAACTTTATTTTTATCTTTAACTTCCTGCTAATTCCTAAGAAACTATACTGCTTTTTTATTCTAATGGAGATCTTACCAGATTGCCTGCAACTATATACAAAGATATGACATTTACGTCTAGTTTTGGCTGCGTTAATTAAAAATATTGATCGTCTGAAAGATATAATTTCTTTAACCCAATGTATTTATTTTAATTCAGATGTGACTTAATTTTACACTTTTTTTTAAGTTTCAGATATTTATAGATAATATTTTATGAGAAGTTTTCTAATTTGGATGAGTTTTACTTGGTGATAACTATTTATCAGTGATGAGTGAATTACCAAGCACTTAAAATCAGTTGCATCCAGTTTAAATGTCTTCATAACAAATTAGAGAAGATTTTCTCTCTCCCATACTTAATAGTTATTAAAATTGAAAATTAGAGATAATTATATCTTCTTGGATTGAAAAACATTAATACCAGGTGGAGAAATCATTAAATGTTTCCAATTCAATTTAAAACTATTAGAGGTTTTATTTAATGGGTCATTAAACCTTATGTAAGTAATGCAGGACTAAGATCTATGTCTTACTGATGGTCTGAGTGTATCAACGCTTACGTTTTACAGGAGTATACCGCAGATTTTGGTACGTCTGTACTTGTAACCATGCCATTGGTATCGGCAAGGGTAGCTTGAATCATACCGATTAACATTTAAGCGTGGGATTGTAAAGTTATTTGTGACTTTGAACACCATTAAAGTTAAGCCTGTAGCATTAAGATTACAGAGCAGATTTATTTAATGCCGTGATTTTGACGTAATAAAATAAGATATTTTTAATCTTCATATAAGTTCTATTACACAAAAATAAAATTAAGATTCACTTTTGAATGATAACAAAACTTGAACTTAGTAATGAACAATGAGATTTTTTTTTGTATTTATAAATGTATATAACATACATTTTTCAGATTATCAAGGTTTTACATGTAAATTTGGTGGGTTTTGTTTTTTTTAGTTTTACCCACAATATATGTATTTTTTTAATATAATTCTTTTTATGTGTAAATGCGGTTTACCCAAATTTCCAAGTGTTAGGTGTTGATAAATATTGCGTTGTATTTATACTGCAATACAATGCCTTATATTGTACATGCTGCATAGTGTGAAGCATAGTGCTATATGTGTGACCTAGCACATTATTGAAGTATTATTTAAATAAGTGCTATGTATGCCAGATTGAACACATATAAAATGTGTTGATCTTGCCATATTGTTTAAGTTTTAGTGCTATATCTGTAATAATTGAAATTGAACAATTTCTGGAAAAAGATTCTAATATTATGTTAATTTATGTGTTATTTTAGCATATTCATATATATAAACAAAGTGCTAAATGTTTCATTTAGATATAAAATATAAACAAAATATGAAAAAAAGTACATTTTGGGGGGTGGGAGGGGGAGGGTGGTATTTTGAAGGGCTGTTTTCTACAGTTCAAATTTTAGCATTAGTAAAAGATTTTTTTTTTAAATTTTTCATCAAACTCATAAAGGACCATGGTTCACTTTATTAATACTCTTTTTAAGGTTTCTTCAATCCTCAAAATTTAAGTCCTCAAAAGTATTCAATTTTACAGTGTTTATTAGACTTCATACATATTACATAAACAATGTACAAGGTTAATGCATTGTTTTATAAAACCAATGTTAAGGCTGTGTATGACTTTAACATGTTAGATGTTGGCTGTATATGACTATAACATGTTAGATGTACCTATTTCAATTCTGTAATAAGATCTATGTGTTAAAAACCAGGGTTAATGTATAGTGTAATTAATAGGCAGGGACAGTCCAATGTCAACATTTTAGCTCCAGAAGAGATTCAGGGGGAATAACTCCTATTCCAATTTTAAAACTGTTTTGTCAATAACTTGTAGCTCTGTGAAATCATCATTTGTTACATCCACTCAGGAAATGCTTTCACCAAACCAAAAGAAACCTTTGTTCTGTGCTACATACTGTTTTCCGTGTCATTATCCTAATATTCATTGTGTATTCAGATTCACATTAAGATTTTAAAATTTAGTAGGGTGTTCAGTTTGAACTTGCATATGTCCCATTCTTCCAGGTATATTTTGTGTGTGTTTATGTTGATTGTAATAAGTCATAGCTTTGTTTTTGCTCACCCATATGTAGTGACAGTTTTTGTGCAATAACCAAATGTAGACCAAGATTTTCCTAGTAAATTTATCAAGTATCTATCTTAACCTCCAAAAGTAGTTTATAGTCTTACGATTCTCTCTGGGGCATCAAATAAGTTGTAAATACAAGTCTAGATGAACCAAAGACTGTCTCTGATGCTATTGTATTGTGAGCTTCATTTACTATGAAAACCAGTCCAGACCAAGCAAAATGTTTTTTATGTTACCTGTCATGTTTGAACTTTGGTTACCATGACGATCAGCCTAGATCAACCAAAGATTTAATATGTTGCAGATATTTTGTGTAATTTAGTTACTATGACAACCAGAGGTAGGATTTTGAGGCATCATAGTCTGATCCTGTTGAATTTACATCAGATTACTGGTCAATAAAATGACCAATAGATTTATATATAGCTTCCATGACACAAGACTTGCTGTGGAAGAAGATAAAATACACTGAAGATGTGGGGCACTGCATTTTGATACTTGAACCATTAACTAAAAGAAAAACCATTAGGTCTGATACATTCTACCATTGTGGCATTTTTTGTCAGATATTTTCACATTTTGTGAAAATTTATTTCTAAAATTATAAAAATTTCACTTTTTTCTTCGTAATCGATATTTCACACATATGCCACGTTTTACTTGATCATGATGTTGAGAAAGATGTTTATTGTCCGACCCTTGAGAACCAGATTTTTACTGAACACTTTGATGTAAGAGGTGACCATGAAATATCTAAGTGTTTTGTTTATGTTGTAGATTTGTTGTTTTTTTTTCTCTCTTGCTTCTGTGATATTGCTTTATCTGTCTGTTTCATATATATACATTTACAGATATAAAATATAGGTCAGACAAATGTTGCCAAAATTATACAAAAGTAAATTACACATGAAGTATGTGATGATTCTATGGTAGGTTAGTATTTTCTCTATGTTATATCACTGTGTGTTTGTATTTGTTTATCTGAACTGAAATTATTTCATTTTTCCCCCACTTTTTTCACTAGATATTGTAAATATTGGTACACATATACCAAATGGATTCCAGTAATGTTTCCAGTTGATAAAAACTAAATATGTAAATTTGATGTAGTGGTAAAATGTATTTTTATTTCAATGAGAAATTATCAAAATGTTATGGTCTTAATTGAAGTTAATTAATCGGAAGTTAATCAATAAATGATGTAATTAACTTCTGTAGGTGTACTGTTTTCAGGTGATAGCTAGAGTCGTGTCCTGTAATAAACCTACTATCCAATAGCCTTGTAACTACATGATGTATTGAAATATATCATAAAATATGGACTAGAAGGGACACATTCCAAAGTGCAGAATTATTCAGAAGATTTGGTGTAGAAACAATATTCCAATGCAGATAAATAATAAAATTGTATCTGGTATCTATTGTCTTGTGGAGAAAAATACACAGTTTTAAAAGAAGATTGACAGCAGGATTCTAATAGTTCTGAATAGTTGGAAAATTAATTTTTATCTTTGCTTAATATTTGTCATTTTTTTAGCGATCACAGTTTCTTTTATTTGACTGACACAAGGCGTTAGATGATTTTGAAATCCATGTTGCTTCCATATCACCTGATACAACTATATAGTTGTTTGTTCTCACAATGCAGCATGTTTTTAAGTGCTGTATGTATATATATACAAATACTGTTTACATGTACTGTAGGTTTAATTTTAAATGGTTCAGATTTTTATGAGTTCAAGCCGTCGGTTTTCTAAGTTTTCTAAATGTCCTAATTTTGTTTTTCATATCCTTGAAAAAATAGAAAAATTAAACCCTATTAAAGACTGTATCTGCAGATGGCCTTGACCTTGAAAAAGAGATACTGGGTTACTTGGAAAATAGAGTGAATAATAAAACAAAGTACTTTTTTCAACTTCTGTGAAAAATACTTATGTTTTACTTAGGCTTTTTGTAAAACCATTGTAATTTGGGCAATCCCAAAAAAAAAAAAAAAAAAATAATAATAGAAAAAGCAATATTTAATTTGTATTAAGCCCACCCTTACATTTGATTAGATTTTTTCCACAGCAAATAAATGAGGGGTATTCAATTGGTTGTATATTTTGTATATACTACTTCATGTGCAAAGAATTTAGTTGTCGAAGTTACACACAATATTGTTATTCTGTTTTTGTTTTTTTGTTTTTTATTTGTTTTTAATAATACTTCTGTCCAAATACAAAAGATTTGTACATGTCATTAGCTGTAATGAATATGATCCTCTTTCGTGGATGACGATGTAGTCGTAATTGTGAAACAATTTTGAAAATGAATGAGTTAGCACTAACAGGCCGAGTCTGTAAAATACCTGATGATTTTATTATCACAAGTAAGCTCATGGCTTCCAGTATATATACAAGTTTTATCTGTACTGATGACAGGCCAAAGTAACGATAATGTTAATATTTGAAATAGTTATATACATCATAATGTTCATTTTATGTAAATACACATCAAAATCAACTACCATATATGTTATGTTAAATACATCATTTCTTCATTGACTATATTAACAACTTATCATATTTTTCATATACATGTGTCATTTTCCTTGGTAAAAACTAATTTTATCAACAAACGATTTCATTGATCATAAATTCATTGTTGAATAATAATTTGTGTTTGTACCTGAAACATATTATATATTTG